CACTGTCTCTTGCAACTTAATCAACAATAAATTTTATTGTTATAATATTTGACGTCTTGTGTTAAATGCACAGCCTAAAAGCTCCCTATTAATAATATCCTTTCTGTTGTGTTTAGACCCCTTGTGTGATACATTTTTGTGATTAGGGTGTTAAACTCTTTCAAATGGTATATCACATGACCTAGGTTGCTATTTAAAAAAATCAAGACTCTTTCCGAAATCTTCGCAAAAACACTTTTTTTTTTACTTAGTTCTTTGGCTTACATTTAGTAGAAATTCAGGTTTTGGCGAATTTTAAAAGTATTTTTATCCTCACTTCCCCATCTGCAGAATGGCATCTCCAATAGCATACATACTGGATCATGTACTGAAAACATTGTTAGAAAAATCGAAAAAAAACTCGTTATAGTCGCAATTGACCAACTAGTCCAACCACTGTATAAAAATCGTCCTGACCGGAAGAAACAAACTGAATCAACGCGTCAAGTGCATTAATCGGCTAGATCGAAACGTGCCGTTACCATGGCAACCATCATAAGCGCGCCGATAGAAGAGACGTGTTTTCGGTGGTTTTATGCATAGCGGACGGTCGGCTTTTTTTATCAAGCACCTCGTTTGTTTCATGCAGTGGTCCAGATACCCTGAAATTAGGTACACTTTTGGAGGTTTCTGTTTTGTAATTTCTGTGGCTTGGTCGAAAAAGGGCCTATCTAAGAAAATTAAGTTTTGAGATAATCAAGGATTTATATGAAAAAATAAAATACTTATTACTCAAATATTTTTGTTTAGAATTTAATAAATTTTTGCTACAGTATTCAAAAAAGTAATGTTATCCATAAGATATATATATTTTTTTAATAATTGCAAGAATTAATAAATTTTTGATTGTTAGGCCCCTGCATTTTTTAATTTATAAACATAAGCCCTAATTATGATAGTCACATGTAGCATTTAGGCCCAAAAAAATGGTACTTATGCCTTATCATTAACAAGAACAGTACATAGGCCGTTTTTATTAAATAGAAACGTTGTAAAAAGTAAAATAAAACTTCAGTAGTATTAATAGAAATGATATTTAAGAAAAAAAAACATGGTTTTATACTAGAAACATAAAATATTATTTTTATAATAAAAAATAATAACACAAAATCTGTTACTCGTCATATTCTACCGAACCTATCGGACAAACTTCGTCTTCTTCGTCTTCATTGTTTGATGATTTTAAATTCATATAAAAAAGTCGACTATTAGGATGTAAGTAACATAACAGACTTTTGATATCGTCCAATTTCTTTTTTGGGAGAGGAAGGGGATAGGAGTTGTGTAAGTTTTCTAGGGTAGGCAATGCTTCAGCTAATAGTTGTCCTTTTTTCTTTTTTGTTATATCCCACACTTTAAATTCTTCTTCCAGAAAGCTTTGTTTGTAGAAAAATTTTCCAGGACTATTCTTAGTGTATCTTAAATAGTTTGATTTTAGAAACAACATCTGTTCTCCATCGGCATTTTTCTTTCTGTTTATAAAATATGCTTTTTGAAGAGCACTTATATTAAAGAAATCATCCTGTGACATGTCAATTACTTTAATTCCACCTTTTCAATGGATACCTTTGACAAGTGTACACCAGTCTCTGGGCATTTCTATGTCTATTGAAGTGTGTTTTTGGCCTTTTCTATTGATGCGTGAATAGAATCTGCTTCGAGATGTGTATGTCCAGAGATTAGGAATTTATGATTAATTTCTTTTAGATTGTGACCTGGTGGCAAAAATTGAAATACCAAAGAAAGCATTGTTGAGACATAAATATTTTTGTTCTGGCCTGAGCAGCAGTCACTAAATAAATTTAGAGTAGTTGTAGAAAAGGGCAAGTTCCTTATGTACTTCAAAAGACAAGATGCAATTTCTTGTCCACCACGACCTGATGTAGTTTCATCCCACATAAAACAAAAGGACTTGTTGTCAACATCATTTGAAACCTCATAGACAGTTAAATTAAAAACCCACAATTGTCTTTTATAAAATGCGATTCCACTTTGTAAGTGAAGAGTCGGTAAACACTTTTGTAAATCAAACATTGCAGTAATAACGGTGCCATCACTTTTGCTTTTTTTCTTCATCTTTCCTCTTTTCTTTGTATGCGTTATCTGCTGCCTTTAAATGATCTTGTTTTTCCCTTTCGTAATTTATTCTGTCCCCTTCATCATTGGAAGCTTTAATTAAAATTTCTAATTTGTCACATTTGCCACATGTATCATTGTGAGGTGGATGGAATAATATGTTAAATTCTGTCACAAAAACCTTCCTATAAAAGTGTTCAGAAACAGGATTTTTTTCGATTTCTTTGCAGTACAGTATGTAAAGGCTATACATTTGTTTGATCGAAAGATCCGAAGATAGGTATCGTTTGTCAGAGTGTGACCTCGAATAATGGCTTCTGTAGGCTGGAAATTTTGATATATGTTGCATTACAATCTCTTTGTCTTCTTCTGCTATTTTAGGGTGATTTCCATGCCTTCCTCTTTGGTCTGAACTACATAAACCGCTTCCAGATCTACATTTCTCAACTGTGTACCTCAGTCGTTTAAATCCTACATTGAAGGTATTCAGGAACATTACTTTACACACTTGTACAGGCAATCCCTCTTTTTTTAACAGATAGCTACGAGTAAATGATCGTCTGCTTCCTTCATTTGGTTTATTACATCGTAACTTTTTAAATTCGATTACTGATGTTGACAAAAATTGAGTTTGTTCGTTATGCGTTAAACGATAAAAATCATTAAAAAGGCTTATTCTTTCCTCATGACTGAACTTGTCGTAGCATTTTCTTCTGCATTTACATGGTGCTTTTAAGCTTCTGGCTTTGACGGTCTTACCCTTTTTTGTCCTATATTCTTGGCCTTCAGCTCTTGCAACCTTTCTTTTATTAATTATCCAATTACGCTCATTTCTATTTCGTTTCCTAGACTTTCTTTTTTCCTTCGTCATTACTTCTTTAAAATTACTACTTTCTTCTTCACTTTCTGCACTATAAGTATCATCAGAGTCAGTTGCAAATGGGTCGTTATTTTCCTCATTGCTGTCGTTATCCTTTTCCTAAAAAGTATACAAGTTATTGCTTAAATACAAACGAATCCTACATATTGTACGTACATTTGATGGATCCTCGGGAATTTCATCAGCACTATAAATGGTTATATCCGGCATATCCTTAGCATTAGTAATGAAACTAGTAGGAGTGGATTTCTAAAATAAATAACATTTTATTCTTATTTGCTGAAAGTAATGTGCAAAGAGCTAGTAAAAACTTAGCTCATGTTGTAAAGTTACTTTTTCTAAATTCATTATAAAAAGTACATGTTTTTTTATCAGTTTCTATGCATAAAGTGGGTCTTTATGAAAAATATGAAAAAAAGTTCAAAAGTGTGAAAAAAGTGCCATAACGTATCATTATTTCACACTTTTTTTCATTCTCATTAATTCTAGTCGACTATGATTTACCTTTTGTTTCAACTGCGAACAGATCGAATAAATATCACGTTAGAGGTAGTTATCGACGCCATTTTTAGTCCAACGAATTAATATTTTTTTAGTTTTTGCGTGAACTTAGAAAAAATATTTTATGAAGCTCGTGCATAAAGCATCTTTTTTTTAAAGTATAGTAAAACTGGATCCGAAATGCTTTACACAAACTTTTGTGATTGCTTATTTTGATATTATTTAGCGCTTGGCAACAACAACAACTGTTAAGACTGTTATGCAAAAAGCAATTTCCAGATCTTGTTTTGCAATGTTCTGTTATTACTTGTTACTTTAGTAGAATGTACGAATGAATTTACCTGAATTTCATGATCCTCCCATATTATATCAGATTTTGTAACTTGATTTAAATGATTATAATTCTCCAATGCATCTTGAACCATTTTCTGGGCACGTGACTGTCGAGATTTTTCATTTTGCATTTGCATTTTGCTACCTAAACAAAGCAGTTTTTCTTTTACCACACAAATCAGTTATTCTTTTATTTTACTACACAAATTAGTTATTCGCTTTCTACACAAAAAGTTTAGCATTAAACTTACCTAACTAGATAGTTCATCAGTTTTAAATCCACATTGAAATCTAATTTTGGACGAGAACACACAGACACTCTAACAGCCATAAAAGCTAAGTTTTGAGGTTATGTTATGTTTTCCGATCACATGTTTAAGGGTCTATGTTTTATTTAAACCGGAACGAAATCAGTGACTTTAAATTAACAAGGGCCTAAGTAGCAAATATACAAAATAATAAATGCATATATTTCACTTAGGCCTGGCTTAATTATTACATGTGAGAATAAAAAGGGCCCAAGTACATATAGACCCAATGTTTTAAAAATAATTTAACCTATGTTGCAGTTAGGCCTTTCAAGAAAAATTAAGAAAATTATTTAAAAGGCCTAAGAATACATAGGCCAACTTTTTCAGGCCTATTAATCACTTATGCCCATTCAACTTCTAAATTTTCACCAATTTAGTTAGATAAAACCAATTGAAATGGGCCCAAAATGAACATAGGTCTTTATAGTCATTAGAGTTTTTGCATTTAGGCCCTTTTTACATTCAAATTTTCGTAACTAGCAGCTTTATTTACTTAAGACTTTTTTCATTAAAAAGAACGTTGTTCACTTAGTTAGATACGCCTAACAACTCAATTTTTTAAAATTTGCACTTAGGCCCTTTTTCGACCAAGCCACAGATTTGTATAGAGACAAAAATGCAGGGCATTTTGTTAAAGAAAAAGAAATATTTAGCTATTCAATTGATTATTTTATTAATAAATTTTGGTGAGACAGCGCGTTACCTGCATCATCTAGCGAGCCGCCACTGCAAAAAGATTCTATTTACAATCCTTATAATTCGGCATGGAACCGCCCTTGCTTTATTAAAGAATTCTAAAGCTCGTATTACTTGGAAACATAATATTTTAAGTATTACGATCGATTGTAACTTTAACTTACCACTAGAGTGTTTCCCAACGCTCCCATGATAATTAGAAAGCAGTAGAAGACAATCAGGGCAGTATAAGCCGGTTCGTCTATTCCTTTATTCTTGAGGTACCTCTCCATTAATTTTAAATCTATTTCGTCGCTGTCGTTATACATGTCGTAACTGTAGCTCGAATTGTTCCCGGTAATCTGCGAATAGTTATAAGCCATTTCGAATGAAGTCATGGATTTGTTTTAATGTGCACTGTTTTGCTGATGTTATTACTTTTGTTTGGTGGAGGTTTCAATGCTTCAGGTTTCATCCATTTTGGTTTCTAGAACAAAAAAAAAGAGTCTCAGGGTATAGGTATATTTATTAATTTAAAAAATGTTGATATGTCAATCAATATTTAAAATAAATTACAAAATTGGAACAACAATAAAAACGGACTTAAAAAATGAAGAGTTTGATGATTTTCTTATGGATCCTTTAATCAGATTTTGACTAAATTTATATGGGATAACCACTACCAAAAAAAGAATAATCATCAAATTAGAACAATGTATTTAATAATTATCGCCAAAAATGTATAAATACATATTTCGACGAAATAAAAACCTCCCCCTTTTTTGAAGTCTGTTAAAAATCATAGAAATAGTATAGAAAGCCAATTCCATACATCAAAAGTGAAACCATGAGGATTAAATAGTGTGTCGGAACGCATGCGCATAATGGTGCCACTTTGAACAGGACCGGTTCAAATTTAATATATATCAAACAAATAAGTGAGCATACACGATATTTTAGGTTAGCAGTCTGTAACGAGCATTTTTTCGTATATTTATATTTATTTAAACATAGGAAAGAGAATATATATTGTTATATTTGTATTTTATATTTAATATTTAAACATAGGGAAGATAATAAATATTGTTACTACCTTTGCCATTTTTATTTGTTTTTTTTTATATTTAATATTTAAATGGACTTTTCGAATGCACCTTGTACGATGAAACGACGCAACGCCAGAGGTAGGAAAAAAGGATAAAAGCTCTTGTACATGAAAAGCCGGCAGCTGTTTGTTTTGTAAATTCATCATTAATCAAAGTGAGGTTATTGAGTGATGGTTCAATATTTAGCGATTGATAATGTATTAAGCTTTTTCTTTATGTTGACTAAATGCAGCATCGGAGCTTTGCTTTACCGGTTAAGGGTATTTGTTGCAGTGATTTAGTATTTAGCTAACGTATTTCTTTCTTTCTCTTTTCTCATCTTTTCTTTTCACTTAGTATCCACCCACTAAACATAGAAAGTTACAAACACTTCCAGCAAGTTTATTTTCGGCTTGTAAATAAAATTTATTTCGTAAGTGTATAAAAAATTTACAAATTTTTATTTATAGAGCATTCAATATAAAAACCGATGCACGTCAGAGATGACGTCAGTGACAGTCATTAGTACCACACACACTAATAAAAATAATTAAATTTTATTTTGCAAATAAATGAATAAATTTAGACGCATGGTGTTCATTTTTATAAAATTGCATATTAAAAATGTATATTTTTATCATATCACAGTAGTAAATGTACTGTAGGCAGATTATTAACGGAATACTTTCTAGTGAATTTCATAATAAAAGTTGGCATCAAATGTGTCAGCTTTCAATTTTAATACATTATTGTCAATTGTTATTTGTTTTGTATTATTTTGCATCGATCGATTTCTTTTCAACAAATTATTTGTATTTTAGATTAAATTATTAACAAACTGTTCTTTTCAGAACAAATTTATTAGGAATTTAATAGGTGGTGTTCGTTTATTGGGTATTTTTTCATTGAAAAATGCCAAAACAATTAAATAGTCGCTGCAAGGAACTAGTGGCTTCTCTAATAAATTATTTTGAGAAAGAACGTGATAATAATGGGCCTTTGTTACCTTTAACAGCTGCAAGAGAAGTGAGTTGATTAATAATGTATCACCGTCAAATTAATATAATTATTTTATTTCAGCGTCTCGCAGAAGCACTTAATCTTAATTTTTCTACTGTTAGTTTTATTTCACAAGCTGTAAAGAACAGTGAAGTTCTAAAGTCACCACCAAAAAAGCGCCCTAGGCAAAAGAAAGTTACCAACACAAGAATTCTGAATACCAGTGCTATTCGAGATGTTATTTATAGCATGTACGAGTCTAGTAAGTGTATAAATTATTATTAAACTATTACAAATTAATCTATGATTTCAGAGGAGCATGTAAGTTTAGATTTTTTGTTGGTGAAACTTAATGAGAAGGAGTTGTTCAATGGATGTCGCACATCATTGCATACCTTATTATTAGAAATAGGTTTTAAATGGCAGAAAGATGAACTAAGGCGAGGTCTTATGAAACTTCCAGATATTGCCGTGAAACGGGCAGAATTTTTAAGAAAATATACCAAAGAAAAGGAAGCAAATTTGTAATAGTTTGTTTTCTTGGATTTTCCAAAATGGCATTATAAACCGTTCTTGGCAAGACAGCAATAAAAGAAGTGTAAAAAGTAAAGTTCACTTATTTTGATAAGAATATGGAAATTTATTATAATTTTTCAAGTTTTAGTTTATATTCGGAAGTTTTTAATATGTTCTTTAACGAAAATTTATATATACCATTTTTAAACTATGAATGAAGGTAGGTACTTAAATCTATTTGTGTAGCTTATGAAAACCAAATTATCCGAAAATGTATTTTAAAACTTCTAAAAGGTACAAGTCGGAGGCGAAGCGAGGTTTACATTCTTTGCCTTTGTCTTTTCAATATTTTGAAAGAAACGAAATGATAGGCTTGTTTTGGTTTCTTCAAAATGTGCTACACACCGTCCAAAATCTAGTGGAACAGTTGAATATTAAATTATTGGTTGCGTAAAACTTTTAAACTTTCCACTGGTTAGCTAAAACATATTTTTACAGAACCAGAACAGACCCAATATAATGTTTTTCACTATATATTTGTGTCCTTGTTTATCGATATGGAAAACAAGAAAGTGAAAATATACTCACAACGCACTAAATGTAAACGGTCAGAATGGGAACAGTGTAGTGACTTTGACAGCTGACACACGCAATTTGGTGATATTTAGACACGATGAATGACATTTTGTCAGTGATGCTAGAACAGGGCTGCCAGATTCAGTACGTTTGTACTAAATTCAGTACTTTTTCAGTACGTTAATGTTACGTTGTTAGTTTTAGTACGTTTTTGTTAAAAATAGTCTATTTAGTACCATTTTCTGTACTATTTGGACATTTTTCGAATAAAGTGACGTATTTTATTAACGATGGATGACAGTTGACAATTAAAAGTCATGTGATAAGTCAAATAATTTATTTGAATTTGTTTGTTACACGTTTATTGGTTATAATTCAAAAAGTAAAATGGTTAAGACATTTTTTTTTGTTATATATGAAGATAATATAATTTAATGAAAATGTTAAACCACAAGAAAATTATTTTTATTTCCAGTCAATTTGTTCTTATAGGGTAAATTTTTTGTAAATATTACAAATTTTTCTACAAAAGTTATTTAATAGTTGAATCGGTGAGTGAAAGAACAGTATATATCTAAAGTAACCATTTTAAGAAAAACAAAAAAACTCTTTTAAAGGAAAACTATGGGTTATTCGGCCTAATTATGTATTGTGAAGTTATAGAATTTTTGTTGACCGATAATAATACATAGATAAATTTAAAAAGAAAATTATGCAAAAAATGATATTTGAAAAAAATGACTTGCAGTTATACTGTTCTTTCACTCAATTTAAAAAAAAAATACTAGAAATTTTTTTATTGATTATTATTTAACAAACTTATTTGTAATTTTTGTTTAAAATCTTCATTTTTGACTTTGCAAGAAACAATATGGTAGTGAAACTCTAAGATTTCATCACTAAAGTAAGATGAAAGTGTCTTTAAATTAGCTATCTTCTTTACGTATAGGAACAACTTCTAAGTATGCCTTTTATAATGGCGGGCATATATATGTATATTCAAAATTTTAGGATCGACACTATACAAAATAAAATAGTAAATAATATGAATGAATATGAAAATTCTTATACTATAAAAGAAAATGAAGTAAAATTAAATATTTTTCAAATGAATATTAGGAGCGCAAATAAAAACCTTGATGAACTTAGGATCACACTTAAACAAATGAAAGACAATAGTTTTGATTTTATTGTTTTGACAGAAACGTGGGAAATTTCAGACAAAACCGTTTTTAGTATTAATAATTATAATCTACTCTACAATGACAGTCAATACAATCAAAACGACGGGGTTTTAATGTATATTAAAAAAGGATTAGAATTCTCTAGTAAAATTATACAATTTCAGGAAACTAAGATTATCGAAGTTGCAGCTACTACTTTAAATAAAAAAATTTGTCTAACAGGTATATACAGACGTTGCAACATGTCCATTCCAATTTTTGTGTCAGATCTTGCCGAATATTTTAAAACGATAAACAAATCATATGACATCCATGTGATAACAGGTGATATTAATATAGATATTATGGAGGAGAACAATGATAATATTGAATATCTTAATACATTGAGTGAGTATAGCTATATAAGGGCAATTAATGACTACACCAGAATAAAAAACGATCAAAAAAGTTGCATAGACCACATATTTATAAAATCATTAAAAAATATCAAATACACAATACATCCGTTTATTATCAAAACAAGTATTACAGATCACTTTTCAATCGCATTAGATATTATGGTTGCTAAAGTAAAACAAAAAGATATTATAGAAAATAAAAAGATATTTACTGATAAAAAATTACTTATATCTCTAATCAAAAACGAAACATGGTTGAATATATATAATACACCTGATATTAACGTATGTGCAGAAATGTTCATAGATAAAATAAAATCATATATTAAAAAATCCACTAAAACAATTCATTTCAAATCCAGCCAAAGAAAACGTACAGAATGGATTACTCATGGGTTAATTAATTCAATCAACGAAAAAAATAAAATTTACAAAAAAATGCTGAAAAACCCTACCGAAGAGAATAAACGAGAATTTAAACAATACAGAAATCGCCTCCATAATATGTTACGGCTTGCTAAGTCAGATTATTATAATAACAAAATACTTGATAATAAAAACTCGTCCAAAGGCTTATGGCAATGCGTAAAAGACCTGTGTGGTAATAAAACAAAAAAAGAAAACATAAAATCAATAAACATAGAAAATAAAACGATTACAGACAACAAACTAATGGCTAACCTATTATGTGAACACTTCACAGGTGTAGGACATAAAATGGCTGAAAAA